ATTTACTCCTTTTATGCCTGCTACTTCCACACACTCACTTATTTACTTCAGCTCATTAACTGGGCAAGTGGTGAAGCCAACAGAGTAAGTTGTTGGACATGGATGAACAAGTTAAGGGGTAGAGCCAATCTTTTAAGCAAACTAGAGGAGACTTCAAGATCTGTAAATCCAGAGGACAATGTAGACATTCTTATCCTGACATGTTGAGGGCAGAGAATTACATATTCCATGTTCTATAATCATGTAACCCCTGAATCATGATGAGAGACGACTCTCAAAAGAAGTCTGTTAGAGTAATGCTGAAAGACACAAAGAATGGGTTAGGATAAGAGATGTCACTGTAAGACAGAGAAAGAAAATGTGGACCTCTGAACACAAATGCTCAAGACTTCACTTGTTCAAAAATAACTGAGTAGTTTAACTGTTGAATTGACTTGCAATACCTACAAGTGAGAGCAAATGAGACTGAAGTGTCTTAAGAATATGCTGTATAACTATTTACATCCTATATATAGCGACTGATACTTTAAGCAGCATAAACTTACGTAGATAATCATCTTTGTACTGGTAAAAAGAAAACACAGTCGAATTTCATTTTTTGTGCAGCTATACTAATTAGCTTGCTCTTTTGACATACAGAGTACTTTGCTGTTGTGGTGGTAATGATCTAGCTGTATCTGGTAGAGAGCTTCAAATACTAACCTACCCTTAGTTTATTCAGCTGTGCCCGCACAGAGCTTCCCTAAAGAGACATGAAAAGTACAAAATTTTAAAAAAACTTCAAAACTTCCTTTGCTTAACCCTAAAAAAGTTTCAGAGCTTACTTTCAGTGTATCAAAATTACTTTAAGTCACCAGAACTTGTCATATGTGTATCAAAACTCCATAGTTCCTAAAGAAATACAGGAAAGTAGGGAGGGCCCAGTATTTACAACCTGACAAGCACAGTGACATTCAATCTACTGCACAGATGTCACAGTTTTTCTAACAGGCCAAGTGAGGTCCATTTTTCAGGTTTACTTAAAATTCTTAGCACTTAAACACTATTTTAAATCATGTTTTCAGTTTATATTCCTTTCCGTTGGTTTGTCTTTGGTAGGGATTTTTTTTCTACCAGGAATGCTTCAAGGCTCAAATAACTTGCAATTGATGTCCAACCCCAGCAGTTTTGGAGTACTTCTTTGTTAATTTTGACATCTATACATATCAGATGCCTCTCATACATACATTATGCTTATGCTCTATAGATACACATCATACTTATATTAGTGTAGGCATACACAACCTTAAACTTTAGAAAAAGAGTTTTTAAAGTATGTTACTGTTTATATAACATTCATATCACTCTCAGTTTATCAACACTTGAAGTTACATTCTATCAACAGCTTCAACTTACACAAATAAAAATGTAAAGTCAACTCAAAATAGATGAATGCTAGCATTTTCAAATATTATCTATATGAACATGCTGTCCTACTGCCACTCAGCTTCAGTAAATACAGAGTACCTCCTCAGTCCTTCATCTTCAGCATTTTCCTCTAGTTCTTAGCTTGTTTTGCCAGATGAATAATAATTACATATAACATTTCATAAATCAAAAGTGATTACTCCAAAACAAAGTATCTCTCAATTCTGAGCCACATACCCAGCCTATCGCTATAAGCTACAGAGTTAAGTCAAGCAATAAGTATCTGTGCTATGAATAAATAAATACAAATTTAAGTCAACAAGGTAGTGCGTGTTAAATTTTGAATTAAAAAAACTAATAATGTTATATTCCTGTAGACTTATTAATTCAAAGCACTCAGGTAAAGTGACAGCACATTATATTTGCAACAGTTACTCAGTTCTTTACGTGCTACATTTTTTTCTTCAGCACCAGGTTCTTTACTTAATTAGTGCATTAACTGGTAATTTCAAAGTTAACAGAACTATACAGTCAATTGCTGTTTGGAGATGCTAATGCTTTTGTTGCTTTAAGTGGAAGAGAAGTACTTTGCTGAAGAGCATTTAAATCTTAAATTACAGACTAATTCTCTAAAGTAACAGGATATGGGACAAAGACAATCCAGAGAATCGGGGACAAATGAGTACAGCATGGAGCTTAGCAGCTTCTATTAGAAATATTGCCAAGTTCTTGGTTATGGAAGTAGCATTTAAAAAATTTATTTTACTGGATACTGAAAGGAGGTTTTTCTTTTTCTCTCTTTTTTTTTTTTTCAGTTCAAATTCAGCTACTATCTGGTTTGATCTAGTAAATCCTGATCTACCCCTAACTCCAGAACACAACCAGCTCATATAAAGGACGTGTTCTTGGGATTTACTGGAGGAGGTAACACAGAACGAGGCAAAAGCCACCTCTCCCATGGTTACTCCTCCCAAGAGAGGGAAGAAAGACAGAAAGCAAGTGCATCATGGTGGTGGGCCCAGGCTCCAGGAACAATGCTCGCAGCTTTAGCTGTCACAGGGTGTGATGTGTAATGTGTATGTGGCAAGAACGGAATTGCCTGTGGTCTCCTGGGCATCTGAGGCCTTATATGAAAGACAGGATTTCTTTTTTTCTATGTTGAACCTAAATTAGATACATGGTTTAAAAATAATCCTTCAGCTTCTAACTAAGGGGAAAAAGAACCTACCAAAATTAAACTGTTAGGGTTTGAAGCATTCCTGGTTTAGGTTGGACTTCATATCAGGTCCCTGTTGAAATTTTCAGAAAATATTTTTAAGAAGGATGCTGATAAAATCTTGCAACTTGTTTGCGCAAACACAATTAACGTGTTTTATCTACAGAAGATAAGTTTTTACTTGTGCAACTTAAAAGCCCAGTCCAGACCACAACTTTAAGACCAACAGTAAACACAAGGCAGTCATGAATATTCATGAAACACCGTATATTAATTAATTTCTTTTCCCAGTACTCTGGAGAAGTTTCTTCTTACACTTAACAGAGGTGCAAAAGGGAATAAATTAAGTAGTCAAATAAGACAAACTCATTCATACATCTATTTCCTTAGCAGGGAAAACAACAGAATTTCTGATTTTAAACAAAGTTTACTTGGATAAGTAGTTAGGAAGGGTTTATGTAAGTCATTTAGCTTTTTGCTACTATAAATTATTAAATCAATATATATTCTAGGTTACACAGAAGATTTTAAATCTAGTGAAAGTCATGGACTGTTGACAGTGCATAAGAACATTCAGGTCAACAGGTTATGGCTAGAAGAAGAATCTGCATTTAAGCACCAATTCTGAACCTCTAGTGCAATTTCAGCTGACAGTGACATATTCTCCAACAACACTATGATGGATAAAAAATTATTTTTCATATTCTTTAAACTAAACAGAAAAACTATTCCACATTAAAAATATTTTATGCAACCCCTCGTTATATTGCAAAAGAATTGAGAAACAAGCCGTCTCGTTTTTTTAACTCTCAGTACCGAATTTTGTAGAAACGCCCATGTTGCATAATGGTCTAATAGGAAAAACTTTATCGAGGATGTCTGGCACAAAGAGAAGTTAAATCCATTGTGAAATTTTTCCTTTAAGAGTACAAGATATATTTTTAGAGCAGGTATGCAAAAATAACTACTCAGAAAGTGAGTTGTATTAGTGTTTGCCACACTAATCCCTGGACACTTTAATCATCAGACACACATTAAAAAGTTCAAAGATCAAACAAATAAAAACAGCATCCTGAAAGTTAAAAGAACAAGAAAGATAATAAACCCTAAAATGATCACTTTCTTTTTGCAACAGCTTCAACTTCAGCTACACCGCTATTTTCATCATAGTTCTTCCACCTTTAATAGATAAAGAAAAAAGAATAGATCAATCCATCGTTACTACAGAGTGCAAAAAAGATGACAACACTCTTTCATAAATATGAGAATATTTTCATAAATATTTAAAACATAGACCGTTTACTCAAAATTTTCCACTAATCTGTTACCACTTAATATACTCCTATATAAAGCAGAAAGAATTTACTCAGTTACACCTCTGCTACTAATACCAAATCCCTGCCTATTCAGAGTTGTAAGCTTCTGTTTTTCTTTACACCTAGACAGAATGAAAAATCAGAAGATGCTACTCTCCACTGTATGTCTTGGCTCCCACAGCAGTGCACACACATTTTGCAGCATGAGACTGAGCAGAAAAAAAAGCCAGTTCTTGCCAAAGCCAGCTAAATCTCCCCTCTCCTAACAGAGGATGAGGGCCTGACTCTATTTTCGTTCACAGAATTCTTTTGTAACAGGTAAGTCTTTAAGAACCCTTGATGCTTAAGATTATGTTTATTTGTCAGAAAATATCTGCCACCTAATTCACTCCCACAGCTCTCATTGTCCACAGGTATATTCAGGGTGTATGTGTGTGTGTGGGGGGGAAGTCTGATTTCTTCACGTTCACTTTTATGAGGGTTTTTTGTTGTTTTTTTATAGCTTTCTGTCAAATGCCAATGAGCATATATCTATAAGAAAAAAAAAAAGCAAACAAAAAACAACCACCCCCACAAACATACTCTAGACTTCCATACATATTTTTAGACTCACACACTTTCTACAAGCCTTCACTCGCGCACAGGTACCCCATCAATTCACTCGCATACACACACCCTACACCATTAGCCCTCTTTTATTACATATACGCTCAGCTCCTTTACACATGCAGGCATAGCAGACACCGGGCACACTCACCGATCTCCCCGACACCTGACACACGCAGGTCCCTCCCGCTTCCCTGGACGCACACCGACCCCTCGCCCCAGCAGACGCGCACACACACACGCCGTATACCCGCTCACAGAACACGCACGAAGGCACACACGCGGGGACTCGGGAACACAAACACCAGCCCTCCTCTCATGCGGCACACAGGGAGACCACCGCCACCGCCACCCCCACGCCCTCCATTGTGCACCAGCCCCGGAGCGGCCACCGCGCCGGCGGCGCCGCTCGCCCACCCGCCCAGCGCACCCCTGCACCCGCACTGCCCCGGTACCCGTGAGGTTGCGGAGGACGGTGCCGTGAGCCCACAGGCTCAGCACTTGCTGCACCGACAGGTTGATCATGGAGTTGTCCCCCGTTTCCACCTTCATGGTGCCGCCGCCGGGTGGGGTCCGGCGGCTGCCGGACCGCGGGGCGGGAGGGATGCGGCGGCGAGGAGCGAGAGGGCGGGGAGGCGGCGAAGGGGTCTCCGCGCCGCGGAGGAGACATCGAGGACGGAGAGGGGGAGACGGCGGCCGGGGGGAGCCGAGCGATCCTGGGGGACGGGAGGAGCCGGCCGCCGGCGCTTCCCCGCTGCTCAGGGGCAGGGCCGGGCGGCTGAGCCCATCGCCCCCGTCGCCGCCTCCTCCTCCTCCATCAGCAGCGGCCGCCGTGGCTTCGCCGGCGGCATCGTCACCCCGGTCACCGGCATCACCTGGAGAGAGGGCGGGGCGGGGCAGCCCGGGCCGGCCCTCAGGCGGGCGGCTCCATGCAGCAGCAGCAGCAGCGGGAGCGAGGAGGATGCCGGAGCCAGACGCCAGCGGCGGCCGGAGGGAATGGGGAAGGAGCGGAGGGAGTGGGAGCGGGAGTTGAGGATCGGGAGCGGAGGCAGCGGGAGGGCAGCCCCGCGCAGGCGCGGAGGGAGGAGCCGAGGGGCAGCGCGCTCCTCCCACCAAACGGAGGACCGGGATTCGGAGTCATAATTTGACTCAAGGAGAGCGGGAAAGTCTGGGGATGCTGTCGACGCTCAGAGAAACTTGCTTTGGTCAGAAGTGTGTTAAATAAAATCTAGATGCATACAGATACATATACATACATCTATATATAGATTGAAAGGGAAAAATAAAGTAAGAACACTACACGGTATTAAAGTTGGTATTAAAGTTTAGGCCGTTGCATGTGTTTAAACATCCGAGAAGAGTACAATGAAGAATATGAATTCTGAAAACAGAAGTGTTCTCACCGTGCAGCACACAGCATGAGTAAACGGAGCTCCAGAGAGCATGGACGAGAGTACCTCCGCGGCTGGTTCTGCGGGATCTGAGGATACAGCCCCCCTGGGACAAAACGGGACAGGATGAGTAAAGTGGTGCACACAGGGTGAATTGCCCGGGAAGGCCGGAGCTGCCGGAGCTCAGGTGACAGCACGGGTTGCAGCGGAGAAGCTGTCATTCCGATGCAACAACCAGGCAATGCTGCGTAACCCTCCTGCCTGTCCCTTAGAACCTCGGAGCTCCACGGTCAGTGTGGCTGCAGATTAAAGCCATCAAAAGTCAGAAAACATCAGAAATCACGAGCGAATCTTGATTCTCTAACCATGCTTTACCTTGTTCCTTTGCTTTCTAGAATATGAGAACACAGTCTTCCAGCTGGACGCGGCTTCTCTCGAAGCATGGGATGCACGGTGCTTACCAACGCAAGAGCCAGCAATCTTCCCTCACATCCATTCTTAAATATGCCTCCCTAGGCCATATTTAAAGTGCATACTTCTTCACTGGCCTGTCTTCAACAGTGGTTGCTGTAGTACTTCATAAACATCATTTTATGTCAGCATCCTTGATGGAAGGGGTTGGAGAGGTAAAGTAACTCATAATTATAGGTGCAATTTATACCTGTATAAAAAGATATTTCATATAGTTTATATTTAAAATATACAATATAATATGTATCTATTTTATATATAAATAGATATATATTTGCAATTTATGTATGTCTTGTATAGATGAAATTTATAGATGAAGAGCCACAACAGATAAATCAACTAAAATCCTGCTTGATGCCCATTACTGGATTTTTTTTTTTTTTTTTTCCAGATAGACTATTGGCAAGATATCTGGTTTAGCAGTGCTCCCAAAGCCCTTTGTTTGCAGCTGACAATGCTTGGCATTTCTGCAAGTAGGTATCATGCCAGGCAGTGAGAAACGCACAGGCAACAGCTCCCTAGAGGGCTCTGGGTTCGACTGATTAAGCACGGAATCACTGTGATAGAGAAAGAGCTCAGCTGTTTGGCCAGGTCCCTGTTCAATGACTGAGGGAAGGTCCTCTCTTTCCTTCTTCTTGTAATCCCACCATCTTACAGTCGTATAATTCAGGCCTTAAAGAAAATAGTTCCCTTTGGTATGCAGTAGTGATTAGTTTTTACAGCGTTATTATTCCATACCTTAAGTAGGGCTCAGTGAGAAAATAGCATATAATTTAGGTTTGAATGTGAAACATACAATGAAATATTTAGAAACAGTTATTCTGTTTCATTCTTTTTAACTTTGGCATGCTGAACTTTGAGAAAACAAACATTTAAAAATGTCCTTAAAAAAATCCCCAACCCTAAGTTTGTTTGTATTGTAGACCATTGCCCCAAGAACAAATATATTCCACAGGACATTGTGGTGTAGTCAAGCTTACTGATAAAAGGAAAACTAACATTTGGTGACCATTTTGGTTTGTAAATCCTGTGGTAATCTAATGAGAGATGTCAACAAGACAATCTGATAGGCCAGAGGCACATATGGAAATATGCATATATCTGTATATAATGTTTCATTGGTGCCCAGTGAGTTTTCAACCTGCATATTGATGCAGGTATTTTGTATTCCATAACAGGAAGAATGCATTGGAAATATTGGCTTTGAATCACTTGTGTCCATAACTTGCTAAAACACCTTCCACAATATTCAACAATCGAGGTACAGAAAATTCATTCACGTAAACATTGAGTGAGTATTGCTGTAGCCTGCAGACTCTTGCAATATTTGCTGGGGAGCATCCTTCAAGGCTGTGCAGATGCTTTCCCTCTAGAGACAGAGACTTTGGAAACCCCCTGAGCCTCCCCCAGGGAGGGCTGATCATTCTGCAGCTGCTCAGAGTGTGCAGGAGCACAGAGCTTCCTAAGTTCTAGGGTAACAAACCGGCTGCCTTCCCAACAGAGATACACCAAAACTGCAGGGCAGCTTCCACTGCAGCTCCACCTAAGAGGCTAAAAAGGGTTGTCAAACCTCAATCATACAACATCTAAATTAATTGAACATTTTCTGATCAAACACCACCAACACACTTGGATAAGCTCTGTTGACAGTGTAGCATTGATAAACGGGCAGAGACTCATCTTACAGGGGGCCATAATTCATCTCATTTAGTCAACATAGTCCTCATTCCATCATCTAGTGGGTGAGCTGAATACAAATTTGAATACACGTTTCTCATGTGTGTTGGACCATTGAGGAAAATATTGTTAAAGCATTGACTTAAAAAAAAAAAAAGAAGGAAAAAAATAGGGTGGTACATGGCAGTGACATTTCCCCGTACCTTGACACTGGGAGGAGATCATGCTGGAGGAATAGAGTGCTTTGAATGAAGCAGCAGAAAGAAGCAAAATTGACTCCTCCAAACTGTAGCTTCATAAGAGCAGGGAATTGCAGCCAATTCTTCTTTGTCCTCAGCAAAGACCTCTCACTTGGGAGGCGTTGCCACAGAAGTCCTGAGCTTATTAGCTCTCTGCAGGGATTATTATGAGCTCTGTAGGCAGCAGTGTACAGAGCAACAGCGATGATGTCAAGGGATCCCCAGCAAGACTCAGATTGCTGCTGAAACTGCAAACAACAGGGGGAATAAACTAAGGATGCTTGAGCATGGCAAGCAAACGCAGTGAGGGCTGGAAAGATCTCAGGGAGGAGAAATCACAAGAGACAGCACTGCCCTGGTGATTAAAGCAGGGGAAAAAAGAAAATTAAAAAAAAAGGGGGGGGGAAGAACATGATCCTAGTATTTCATCAGATAAGGTAGTTCCTTAAATACTAAAGGTTAAAAAAAGAGAAGTAGCTCTTCTGTAAGGACCTGGTGAGACCACTTCATACCCCTGTGATACCTTAAAGTGGGGGAGGATGGGCTCAGCAGAGAATGTGGGGAGACATCAGGGAAGGTGGTGGTGTCAGAGAGGGCTTGGAGGGCTTACTGGCAGGGTGGCAGAGGGAGGGAAGGCTGGCAGGCCGGGGATATGACCAGCTCTGATAATGCTCTGCTCCACTCCACAGAACAGGGATTAAGAGAGGACTTGTAACTGCAGGGAAAACAGGGGAGAGAGGAAACAATCCCACAAATAAACCTCCACCATTTGTGCACAGACAAACCCCATATTTCCACTCCTGTGTGGTATTTCAGGGGGAGCCCATACAATTCACATGGTCTGCCTGACAGCCAGCCTTGAGCCATCACTAACAGCTTAGAGATTCCAGGTAGCCTTTCACCCTGCTGGTGAAAGGGTCCATGAGGAACGTCTGAAAACTTACACACAGACTGATCTTTATCCCAGATGAGCTCGCTTTCCTTCCAGTGTAACTCCTCCTCCCCATTTCCCTCACAGCAGCTGCAAAGTACTGCAAGGAGCCAGCTGTAAACCTTGACTTCAGTCAAAGGAAATTGGTTTTACAGGTGGAAAAGTAGGGTCAGTTTAGTTTCTCTAAGAAAGATTAGAATATGTCTACATAAGCTGCTATTAACTTCTGGTATTGCTTTCAGAAACTGAAGAAATAATGATAAATGCAATTTGAGAGCCCTTGGCTGAATTATTTTCCACTTGGAAATGTAATACTGTTCAAAGTGAAATGATTTCTTAAGTCTTTTTAGAGAAACAGACAACACTGAGTATTGCTCCATTGTCATGTTCTGAAACAAATATTAAATTTTTGCATACTTAATACAGCTTTTTGTCATAGTAAAATGTCCAATTCCAAAACAATCTTTTGGTCCCCTTGAAAAAAGAATTCCCACTCAAGTTTTTCTAACCAGCACTGGCCATGTGGATAGACTGGCACTGCAATTAAAGATCTGTTTTAACTGAATGGATAACCCCAGCACTGCTCATATATACAGACATTTTTTCCCCCACTTCAGAGGGTTTTTCTTGGCCTTTAATTCAAGTCACTGACAAGACATTACAAATGCAGATAGTAAATTAATACCTCGACATTAGCAATAGATTTCTGTGTACTTGCCCCTCTTCTAGACCGCGAATTTACACACACAAGTTACTACTCAATCAGAAGAATTGGCAGTCACAGCTAGTTGTGGTTTGAGAATTGGGTCATTCAGAGATCCTTGGCCTCGTAATCTCAGCTCTTAAAAGGCTGAAATGTGATCTCAGCCCCTAACCTCAATGATGGATGAAGATGCCACGACAGCAATGTAGGAGAGGAAGGAAGGAAGTAAGGTGATACCACGGGATAAATATCCCAACGCTCCCCAGCATGAAAGAAGCCTCACAGGTTGATCTAAGCCACCAAAAATCATCTGGAGAGAGCTTCCAGGGCGGCAGAGGGAGGCAGAGGTGCACGACAGACTTTTCCCAAGCACCAGTAGATGGAGCGCTGTGGTACCAAAAACATCCTCTGCCCAGCCTGCTGCGCCGTGCCAACAGGACTTCTGCCCCACAGATACTACCTCCAGAGCACTGCCAGGGCTTTACTAGCAATGTTATTTCAACAAAATACCTGTGGATACTTGGAACCCGCATTTAG